GATTGCGAAGCACGCAAGTCCATATTGGCGTGAAATCCGCCCCGCACCAATTCCCCAGGGATGAAATTATAAGCGTATGCGTGCGTGCGATGCGTTTGCAAATAAAGTTTGCGCACCTCATGAATATATAAAAAAGTGCGAGCCAAGTTTTCATTTGCAAACATCGCGAAAAATCACACCTTCCCAGTCATGTATCTGCCACTTGCAAATTGGGGTAATATTTTTTTATATGTGTTGGAGGGAGGCGGAAATGCAAACAATTCATGGCTTACCACACTTTATACGAAAAGAGATTATTTCAAAAGTGAATTTTTGTTTCCGACATCGTCAAATACGAGTTTAAAGATGAAGTTTAAAATGGATCAGATGTAGGTTCACTGTCACTACTGCATTCAAAAGTTTAGAGGAACCATGGGAGTTTCTACTCTTCGAGATTTATGATAAATATTTTTTGAGCTATTTAAAATTTCATTGAGTGAAAGTTCCCAAGTGGAAACTTCCTAGTGACTTCAAGTATTGTCCAAACTGGAAGGCAGGTGGCGCTGTCGAATCTGCGTGAAGGCACCTCTTCACCGTGGAAAAAAATGTATATATTTGGGGAGTTCCAAATAAAAACAACTTAAATTTGTTTTTAAGTATGAATATGCAAAGGGAAAAAAACATTATTTTCAAAAATAAAACATAATTTGTTTTAATTATTTCATACTATCTATCAAAACTTGGTTCAAATCTGGTTTAGATCTGGTTCAAAACTGGTGTAGAACTGATGCCAGAACAGCTGATCCGGTTCTGCACTAGTTACGTACTAATTTTGAACCAGGTCTGAACTAATTCCAAATTTTAAAAAACTTTTTTAAGGAAAAAATTTTAAAAAAATTAAAAATTTATTTCTATATATTCATGAAAACAAAACATAAATGAAAATGGCACCATTCTGTATGACAGAAATTGACCCTTGGTTCAAATCATGTTTAGATCTGGTTCAAAACTGGTGTAGAACTGATGCCAGAACAGCTGAACCGGTTCTGCACTAGTTACGTATTATTTTTGAACCGGGTCTGAACTAATTCCAAATTTTAAAAATCTTTTTTAAGGAAAAAATTTTAAAAAAATTAAAAATTTTATTTCTATATATTCATGAAAACGAAACATAAATGAAAATGGCACCATTCTGTATGACAGAAATTGACCCTTGGTTCAAATCTGGTTTAGATCTGGTTCAAAACTGGTGTAGAACTGATGCCATAACAGCTGATCCGGTTCTGCACTAATTACGTACTAATTTTGAACCAGGTCTGAACTAATTCCAAATTTTAAAAAACTTTTTTAAGGAAAAAATTTTAAAAAAATTAAAAATTTATTTCTATATATTCATGAAAACGAAACATAAATGAAAATGGCACCATTCTGTATGACAGAAATTGACCCTTGGTTCAAATCTGGTTTAGATCTGGTTCAAAACTGGTGTAGAACTGATGCCATAACAGCTGAACCGGTTCTGCACTAGTTACGTACTATTTTTGAACCATTTTTTCAATTGAATTATATTTATGTATTTATTTGACGATTTTGAGCGTCTCATATCAGCAGAGAAAATTGTCGGATAGATTAGAATGTGTGAGTCTAGAATTGAGGTTTAAACTTTACAGAAAAACAAAACAAATGACACTGTATATATTTAAAAAAAATATTATTATCAATAAATATGATGAATATCATTCGCAATATATTTAAAAATTTCTATTATACCTGATAAGATTCTCTTTTCAGACAAATTGTAGCGACCCGCATCTTTCGTGTTTTCTCATAATTTATTTGCACTGCTATGTTTACGAGCGCGCGCACCTTTCATTCGCACGCACGCAAAATCGCAAACCGCAAATTGAAACTTATGCGCAACAAATGCACGAACGTGCCAGGCGATGTGGGAAAATGAGTGTCGTAAAACATTAATCAGGGCCAGATGTTCAAGGGTTGGCAGATTTATAACGCGCGCGAGATCAAGATGTTTTAGTAATGACAAAATGTTCATCATTTATGGAGGAGACGCACTTTCCGCCCCCGCCTCAAGCTGTTCTGCAAAATGAGAAAAACTCCTTGATTGTAATTTTTATCCGTCTCTCAAGAGACGGAGGAGGAGCAAAAATTCCCTTAAGAAATAAAATTATTATTTATTTTTGGTCCGTCTCGTTTTTATTCCCTTGGGGTGGCAAAAGCGATCGATTTGTGTGAAGACACCTCTCACCGCCAGCTGCAGATTTTTTTAATCTTGCAGACGCTTTCCAGTTTTTTTCCGCCCGCTGCGTTTTCTTTTGCTTCTCTGTTTGCTCCAAATATTGTCAGAGATTTTCATTCTCCCTTGCTGAGAAACGTATCTCGGTGTGCTCATTTCACAAGGGAGACTCGCTGCTCTTTTCTTGTGCAAATCTGCGCCACACCTGCTGGTATTGAGCGACCTTGGAGTGCACCGCGGGTCGCGACTTTCGGTGCTCAAGCGCATTGTGTGCACTTGCAATTTGGCCGACAGTCCCAACACGGTGCAGCTCCCTTTGGCTAAACGTGACCTGGATGCAAATTAATTAATTGCTCGCCCACTACTAAAAGGTAAAAACAGAACAATGGAGGACTCTTCTAGCAAGCTTTTTCATTTTATTTTCAAGTTAAACAAACGCATGTTTAAACTAAGTATTTGGTATTCATTTGATAACAAAATTAGCTTAAATTATTTTACTTCGAAAGTATAATTTAAATGCTAACGTTGCATTATGAATATGATCATCAAAAATTACTTACAAAAATATCTCTGTTTTGTAAAAATAAAGAACAAATTATTTATGCTAATTTTTCTTTACTTTAAAATAAATTTATAACCCCCAGTAAAAAAAATCTTTTTAAATTTACTTCAACCTACTCAGTCGAAAAATGCAAAAATCTTCTTAGAGTGAATTGAGCTGATGTTTGAACAACGCTGCCTTCTTAAATCTCGAAAAACCAATGAAGTTTTTTTCTTAAACTAGAAACAGTTCCTTATTTATCACAGAATTTTAAATATTCAACAGTAAAGACACTTTTCAACTTCATAATGAGCGGGTTTTGATCAGATATTTTGAACCAACTAGGTTGAATTTTAGACTTTTAGATTGTATTTGAGGTAATTATTCAATGCAAAATGAATCTATAATAGCAAACTTTATACATACATGTAAAATTTATAAAAATTTCAAAAATTCAAAATTATTTATGAAATTTGTCAAAAAAAAAATAATAATAATAATTTAACAGAAATATATGTTTGCTTATTGTATTATACAAATATACACCAAATCATTTAAGTTAAATTCAGCCAATGAAAATTATATACTGATCTTTTCAACAAAATTTAGATAAAAATATAAGTATGATATTAATTTAATGATATAATTCGTAAAAACAAAATCCCTTTACATTATTCAACAAACACTTTTGGTGCTCAGGACATTAGCTATTATGATTGCTATCACTGCCTGCCCGTTCTCTTTACCCTTTGATTAGTGATAGCAAAATGCACGTTTGTGTTTTGTCGTCGGTCGTCGTCACTCGGCACATGCATTTGCAAACACACAGCGAGAGAGCCTTCCTTCGACCGTAATTAGAAACTCGGCTGATGATTATCAGCCCTAAACAATCTCGGCACATCTCACATACAAACAAGTGAATGCGCGCGGATTGAATCAAACTGCTTTCGTGCTGCTGGTTCTGCATCTGATCAGATAAGCGCCCGAGCTAATTCGAGAACACCGCGCTGTGTTAGTAAATGATAGAAATTATCCGAGCGCGTTTGCACTTGCATGACTGCGTAATGTGCGATGTGTGCGAATAATTACTTGTTCTATATGTTAAATCATGTTGGCATAATTTTTGAAAATAATTTTGAAATAAATAATATTGTCGAACGCAAACGTTTTGCTATTGACGTGACTTTTTTCTTCTAGGACATTCTTCTAACATGGAATGTTCCCAGCAGGAAAAATTTTTTAATTAAACACACCAATTATTTAGAAAGGAAAAATTGCGCCTCAAATAAGATTTGGCGGTAGCTATGAGCAAAACCACTACAAACCATTCTATAAGAGTTTAGGCGAAAATTTTAAGGAAAAATGCGGGAGGCAAATTCGGGTGGACGCTCATTATCCGATCAGCTCGTTTTGCTTCGTCTTTCATGGATTTGCTTAACAGAGAAAAACATAATACACAGTTTACATTATTTGATATTATTAATAGATTCAATTAATTAACATTTATTCTTTAAAATAAATTAATTGAATCGATGGAGAAATAAAAAAATAATAATATCAGAGAAATTCTGAGGCAAGTGTTACTGGAAAGAATTAAATATCTTGTCCCAGAGAAAGGAAAGCATTTAATGATTTTAAAATGGTAGGAAGCAAAGGATCTTAAGTAGTTGATTTAGTTAAAATTAAATTTAATAATAAAATTAAAAGTTTCAAGTATGTTTATACATAATTTAATGTTCGCATTAAATTTTTTTCAAACTCACAAATAAAATTGTAATTTAATCAAACAACAATGCAATGCATAAATATAATGTTCACCAAGTCCCGGGAAAAATTTACTTGAAGGTAAGTGTAATTGAACAAAAGACATTTTTGCGCAAGGAAGAACTACAATGTGAATATTAACCTCGAGAGGATTCGCACGCGTGCGAGTGGCATTTTGAATAAAAACGGCGCGGTCAAGGTTGGTTGTACGCAGGCTGACCAAGAGACAGACAGACAGAAAGAATGAAAGTGAGCTTCAAGTTTGACCGCAGGCGTGTGACGCACGCGGCTAATGTGATGATGAACTTGCCAGATTACATTATGTGTGCGCGGCACCTTTCCGTGACATTTAAGAGAAAGAAAGGCAGATTCTCACAATCAGTCGATAGAGAATAAGACTTTTAAGGATGCTTTAAAGACCAGCCGGTTTATTAGCCGAAAGGAAAGGTTGTGCGAGAATAAGACGAGTTTGCTTTTAGGGTTCGACTGATTTACAGGTTTTTATTGCTTTGCTTATAAAATTAGCAAGGATTTTTACATATTATGTACATTATTTGTGCATGGATGGGTGATGATCAATTTTTACATAATTATTTTTTTACTTCTTCTGCACCTGAGGGGGAAGGGTGGCGAGGTAGTCGAGGGCACGCTGGATGGCGGCGGGGATGGGGGGAGGGGTGGGAAGGTGGTTGCCAGTGGGCCTGAATCCGTTTTCGTCAGCCACGTAGTTGACGGTGATCACCTGGCCATCAGGGGCAGTGTACGAGTATTGACCTTCGGCGACCTGCGCGTTCTGGTTCTCGGGGTCAGTGCTCTGGATGGGCTTGTTGTAGCCGTTCTCGCTGGCGGAGATGCCGTTGGCCGTTTCATAACTGCCAAAAAAAAAATTGTACACGTCATTCAAATAAATTTAAAGGTTTGAAGATAAAACTAATTTAATTTTAGGTTAAAATAATTTCAATTAATTTTTTTTAACTTTCGTTGCTTGCAAATAATGAAGGTGTCTTATCTGTTTAAAAGAAATGTTGAGGCCAATTTATCTTTTAATAATTTAAAGTTATTTTATCAACATTAAGCTGAGAAATTATTTGAAGATATTTTATTATTCATTTAAAAACCATTTATAAAGAACTTTTTAAAAATCAATATCAAGATTTATCAGGGCTATCTTAAGATGTCTCACTAAAATTATAAACATAATAATAAGGGCAGCATAATAGAATACATTTTGCATGAAAGAAGATTAGCTCTGCAAAGGCATAAGCCAAACTTTCTATGAATAAAAAACTAAATTTTGTGAGGTTTAATTACCCAAATTGGTAAGAGCCGTCGAAGTTGACTCCCTCGTTGTCGTATTTGAGGATGGCGGCGGGCGCATCGGCGCTCTTCTGTTGGGGGCGGGCGGAGGCGGCCGCCAAAAGGGCAAGGCAGATAGCGAACTGAAAAAGGAAAAGTGGAAAAGTCAGACGAAGCCGCTGTGGAGCGAGCGAGCACCTACCTTGTACATCTTTGAGTATTGAGAATGAGTGTCCTGCCTCTGGATCCCCATGAGCGGTTTATATACTGCTAGAGGAGCATCTTCCACCCCACTTTTTTTTCATGCTGATCATCTTGAATTGGCGCTTTTTAGTTAGAATATATTAATTTAATGCTCTCGCTTGCTGGAATAGAGAGATGCGATTCACCTTTCATTTAAGAATTTCTCAACGGTCAACGCAATTTGCCATCAGGCCGCTCGCTACGAGCGAGACAGACGGTTTACAAGGTTGCCTTAACGTGTTTGCTAAAATCAACCTGTGTGTTTCATCACTCTTCATTTATTGCATGGCGTTCCAATCTAAATAAATTATAAATATTTTGTTGTGTAAAAAAACGTACTTTCGTTTTCTTCTTTGGAATTTGCATTTTATTTCCACTCATAATTTTCGGCCGCCAAATTCATAAGGGTGGGAAATAAAATTTCTTAAAAAAAGCAAAGTTTTTTAAACAGGTAAAAAAGTTTCTACGTCAAAATTTTAAGTTTTTATCAGGAATGTAATACTCTCAAAATTTAAACAAAATTATTCAGAATCAAGTTAGTTCTGTATATTTAAAACTTGGCATAAAAGTTGATATTTTGGCATTGTTTTCCGCTCAATTAAATTATCAGGAAATACACAGTCGCTTCAAAAACTATATAAAATTTTTGTGTAATATATAATCCTCTGCCTATTTTATTTTTAAACAATTTCCTTTACGCATGTTAATAAATAAAAAAGATGTTTATTTAACATTTAGACCAATTTGCAATTTGCGGTTATTGTATAGAATAATAATTGCAGTTGTCCATGTCTGATCGCATAGGTGCAACGCAATCATAAAAAATATAACAAAAAATTAAATTACCGCGATGATTGCCGCTGGCCTGTTTGAGTGCGCGTAACCTCTTTGCCGCGCGACTTTTAAGGGATCGCAATTATAATTTTTTTCTGTATAGAGATTCTGCAAGGTGACACAGGCAGAGATTGACCGACTCAACTAAATTCAGTTTATGAACAAACAAGGCTCCTTTTTCATTCATTCATGACATAAACTACTCCATGATTCATTCTAATGCGACACCAATGCATATGAGAGATGCCTTTCTAATTGAAAAAAAGGTAACCATTGCAAAAGTTAAAAACACCTTGGCATAATGTAAAGAAGTAATACTTTGCCCTTGTCGGGACAAATTTATTCCCGTCAAGAATGGTAAATTGCTCGCATATTTGCAATTATTATTAATTGTAAGCAACATAAATATAGTTTAATATATTTTTTCCTTAAAAGAGCAAGTACCAAAAAATATTTTCAATTAAGCTTGGATAAATTAATCAACACGTGTGGCATTCATAATTAAATTAAGCACTTCAGTGGCTTCCATTTACGGCGGAAAAACTTCAATACACGTCTTTGTTTCATTCAATTTTAACGTTGCCTGGCCATTTTCGTGTTTAAATTTTATCCTGTTTCTCCTGGTTTATTTTATGTTCGAATAAAAATATCGCAAATAGGCATTGTTTGCTCAGAAAATAAGCCGCATTTGACCCTTTGGGTTCAATAAAAAAAAAAACGCAGGCGTCGCAGGCACACAATTTTACAATTTTCCGCGTCGAAGCGTTGGTACATCTAGCGGAAAAGTGCCTCAAAAAGCTGAGGAAAAAACCAGTGATCGATGAAATGCGCAAAACAAAATGAAATTCGCGGATAGCATTCATCACCGTAAAACCAAAAATATGGGCATAAAATCATCAAAATGTAAAAATCGCATAAGAAGTTTGCCGATAAATTTATTCCCCTCCAAGCAAAATCAGCAGAAAAGTTTGATACAAAAGCAGGTCGATTTCCTTTCACATTAAAATGCAACAACAGGTTAGTGATAAATGACCGGCTGACTCAGGGAATACCAAACCTCGTTTATTCTCATTCCGCGACTGAATTTCGCCGCTTCAACCCGCCCGTCGGTGTCATTTCCGCTTGCGAAAAGTTACAATAATGAAAAAACTTTTGATGTGCAAATTCCGTTTCGGATTCCTTTTGAATTTATGCGCGTGAGACGAAGAATTTCGTCTGCCTGATAATGAAATATCCGTTTCCGAATGGTCCCCATGAGTTGGGCAAACTTTGTTCAAAACAAGCAAAGCGCCCAGATGCTACTTTTGAATATAAATGTCGCCCCAGGCAGGCTGTTTTACTTTATTTGAACCCAAGCGAGACTCGATATGCCATATTTTTGTCTGTACTTTTGAGGTAATTTTGGTGGGCGTTCGAAGGGTCGCCACACGCGCAATAGTATTAGTATTGCCAGTCAGACGTTCCCCTTATTTTTATTGCAGTAAAATGGTAGGAAAATTCGTTTAAAGATTTTTAATTGTGGTAGATTTAAAAACACTTACTCCAGAATTTTCTTTTTTTTTACAAACAGTATTCATAGGAATTTCTTCTCAATGACACTTTGAATAAATTGAAGACCTAAAAAGATAATTCAGCGTATGAACAAATGCTATTTATTTTATATTTTATGATATCTATCAATTGCAAGTATATGCTATAATCTATAATTTATTCCAAAAGAAAATACCAGATGGCAAACATCTAAAAGAAAAATTATTTTAGTCTAAAAAGAAATATATAATTTGTTTTAATAATAATAATTTTTCATTACACAGTATTTATTAATTTTTCATAAGAAATTGAAAATTATATTTTATTTACTCTAAATTTTATTTTAAACTAACATTAAACAATAATTATTATTTGTTGAATTTAATTTAAAATTTCAATGAAGCTTATTTTAGCCGTTTTTTTTTTTTAAAACCAGAGATTATAATTAAAAAATTTCATTATCTCAAAAGAATTCCACTTTGACCAAGGAAAAATTCGAGTCCATCAAATCGTGACCAATTCATGGTAGCACGCAATCACTTTCCAATGACGCTTCAGCCTTAGCCACACGCTTTGTAATTAAGTTTCAGGTGACGCCTCTTTTTGTACCAAAAGGGTTCCAAAACGAAGCAGAAGCTCGGTTTTGCTGTCCGACAGCTTCAAAGGATTCGCCCTCGTAAATAAGACCCTTTCCCTCCCTACTGACTGATTCGCAGAGGAACTCAATCAAATTACTGATTCATCCCTGCAAAGAGAGACTGCTTGCTCGGCACTGCTCCACTTATAAACGCGCTGATCCTCTCGATTCCCCAGAGGATTTCCTATTGAAAGACAAATTTCCAGAAAACCTCAACACTAAATAATTCTCAAAAGGCATTTTCGATCCTGTAAACAGGTGTTTCCAACTCTCCACACCGCAGGAATAAGTTATGAAGCAAAACTCCAGTCAGTGCGGCTTGCCTTGCTTTAGAAATGAATATTTTTTTCATTATTCCTTTTGCAGAAAATTACAGTGTGCATCTTTTGATCGGATCGGAGAAAATTGCAAAGGCAACGTCCTTGAGTGCAGGAGAGAATCTGGTCGTGAGAAGAAGAGAAAAAATAATATATTGCGCATAATGTATGTATTACTCTGACTTATACTTATGTCGGAAAAGTAGGTGACGACGTCGGCAAACTGTGACAGAAATAAGCTCTCCATAAAACGCGAAACGCGTCTCTAGTGCGAATATAGAGTCGTCAAGTCACCATTGTGAATTATTAGCGGTGTGTTGAGAAAAAAAAATCAAAATGTGCAATATTTGTTTTTCCTCTTATAATTTGAGAACGCTAAGGAAAAATTATAGTATTTATTTTGTGACATAATAATTTATTTTTATTTGTTTGAAAAAGGAAGTTTTATCGTAATATCAGACCACTGCACTGCCCGCAAATATGAAATGGAATGTCAAATAGTCCGCGATTATAGTCCAAGTTGGCCTCAAAATTAAAGCGCTTCACTGCATGCGTTCAACAAAAGCGGCGCAATTTGGCCCAGCATCAGTTTGCGGTCTGTGAAGTTGCACGCGCTAACATCGGACCACATTTATTACGACTAACACTGTTCCCATGACTTTTGCGCGGCCCACGTTCACATGTGGAATTTACGAAACGACCCAATTCAATTTAAACTCCAATGAAAAAAAAGTTTATATATGCTTTACGAAATACGTGAAGCATTAACAATTCTCTGCTCACGCTGTCTTTCTCAAAAGCTTTGATATAAATTCAATAAAAGCAGATTCCGAACGAATCAACTTTTCTCATTACATTCATTCATTAAATAAATTCCTCCAGCGCGGAATGATGATTAAAAAATTTATGCGCATTATGGAATAAATTGCAACTTGTGTGGAAATTTCCAATCGATCATGTGCAAATTAATTCAACTTATCGGAAAATAAATTTTCCTCTCGGCCGACGAACTAATTGTGAGCAGATGCTCTGCAGACCAAGTTGCGAGTCATCATTTTAAGCCCGACAAAAGTTAAGAGAAACTTGCAAGCAACGGAAACTTTGCTTTCGCCAGACACGCTTATGCGGTTGGAAAAAAAATTGCAGAGCGCGATCGCCATCGGCCTGTCAATTTTGCGAGGAAAGGAAACTTATCCAATAATCTTCCCTTGTTTGTGGAGAGTGCGGCTTGGATCTGTGTGAATTGGAGGGCTGTCCTACTTTCCTCCAATTTTCAAGGGTAGATGATCTTGAGAGGTTATTAGAGGCACACTTTGCGTCAAAACCCCTCAATTCTCAATTCTATTAAGCGCGGCTACTCCGTTTTATCAGCAGCCCGTCGGCCCTCAAATAAATCTATTTGAAAGAAAGATTTTTTTTGCTAAGATTCCATCCATGGCCAAATCCATTTAATTTGCCAAGCATCGCAGCAAATAAATTCAGAGAATGTAAATATCGAGATTTTTCCTCAATAAATAATAAAAAAAAAATTAAATTAAAATACGCTGAATATCGTGACTGAAACCTGAAGATTAGGTATAAATTTACTAAAAAAAATCAAGGAACAGAAATTTCGATTTGTTTTCAGTAATATTTAAATTTTCTTTTTAAAGATTATCTTGAATATTGATACAATATAATTATTTTCATGTCATTACCGTATCTTCTGCAAATGCAGCAA